TCAATATTATTTTATTTTTATTTAGATTTTAGGCTCAATTACCACTTACATGATATTTTACATTGAATTTATGCCGAAATTTAAAAACCTGTAATTATATTTTTACAAAATATTACTAAATGTTTCACTATTTAATTTTTAGTTAAAAGTAATTAATGAAAATAAAATGTTGCGTAGAAATTTGGTCTTTTAACGTTTTTAAATAAGTGGGCGTAACAGAGGGGGTGTGGCATTTAATCATGATCTAATAATAACGATGGTTTCATCCGTGGCTGGAATATCCGATGTTCGGTAATCACCTTCACTTTTCATCTAAAATCTATTTTTATATTTAAAACCTAAAATCGTCTAAAGCAGTTGAATTCAGAAAAGAGCAAAAATCTGTGATCTCTTCCATTTTCCATCAAAAATCGATTGTTATATGGGAAACCAAATAAATCGGCTGTACATACAGTATAATTGAAAAAGTTGAGCGAATATATATGTAAGCTCGTTTGAAGATCCATATAAAGCAGTATAACTGAGAAAGGTAGATGGAAAAAAGGATGTACGTATATTTCAAATAGGCCATGTAAGGTCCTATTTATGAAAAATTTTACTTAATAAAGTTTGAATGAAATTTTGAATTTTTTTTCGAAAGATTTAAAGATAAAAGAGATTTAATTAAAATCAGTAAAATTTTCGATCGAAATTCGACTAAATTTTCGAAATTCTATTACAATAGTGACATTTTCTAGATTCCATATATGATAAAGTAAACTTTCTAAACTTGATTATTATTAATAAAATTTTCGAATTAAACTAAAACTAGCGAAGTTTTCGAAATTTAAATTTAAAATTCGACTATAAATAGTAAAATTTTGGAATGGGGTGAAATCTTCAAAATGCGCAAATAGTGAAATTATCGAAATTTAACTAAAATTAGTGCAACTATAAAATTTTTGAAATAAAACTACTAAAAGTGGAGTTTTCGAAATTTGACCATAAATGATTAAATTTTCGAGATTAATCTAGAATTAGTAAAGTTTTAAAAGTTTCCTAAATAATGAAATTTTAGAAAATCAAATAAAAACAGCAAAATTTTCGAAATTCGACTTCAAAAGGTGAAATTTTCATAGTTCAACTATAAACAGTTAATTTTTTTTAATTTAAACTAAAATTAGGGCAACTATAAAATTTTCGAATTTTAATTATAAATGAAATTTCGGAATAAAACTACTAAAAGTGGAGTTTTCGAAATTTAACTATAAATAATAAAAATTTTCGAGATTAATCTGGAATTAGTGAAATTTTTAAATTTGACTAAATAATGAAATTTTAGAAAACAAATAAAAACAGCAAGATTTTCGAAATTCAACTACAAAAGGTGAAATTTTCGAAGTTCAACTATAAACAGTAAATTTTTTTAAATTAAACTAAAATTAGTGCAACAATAAAATTTCGAATTTAATTATAAAATGAAATTTTCGAAATAAAAATACAAAAACTGGAGTTTTTGAAAATTCACTATAAATAATAAAAATTTTCGACATTAATCTAGAATTAGTGAAATTTTTAAATTGGACTAAATAATGAAATTTTAGAAAATCAAATAAAAACAGCAAAATTTTCGAAGTTCGACTACAAAAGGTGAAATTTTCGAAGCTCAACAATAAACAGTAAAATTTTTTTAAATTAAACTAAAATTAGTGCAACTATAAAATATTCCAATTTTAATTATAAAATGAAATTTTCGAAATAAAACTACAAAAAGTGAAGTTTTGAAATTTGACTATAAATAATAAAAATTTTCGAGATTAATCTAGAATACTCATTTAAATTAAACTAAAATTAGTAAAATTTTCAATGAATAAATAAAAAAAAATAAACGAATTCAATCAAAAATAGTGAAATTTTCGAAAATCGACTAAAATAAGCAAAAAAAAATAAATTCTTTTAATAAATAATCTTTTATTAATAAATACTTAAAGTAATAACTTTTTGTACTATTTCTTACAACACTAGTAAAATCGTTGAACAAGTAAACATATTATTATGGCATATGATAACGGTAGCCACCACTACCTAAACCCTGCACATGACCAGCACTGTAACTATCATGCCCGGTATAAGTTTCTGCTGGATTTGCAGTATTTACATCATTAGAATAATCATCCTTAGTATTGAAATCTTCATAAAGAGTATTTTGTTTTTGATACTCTTTATGGGGGACATTAAAATCTTGAGGTGTTTCGGAAGAAGGTAAATATTTCTCATAATCTGTAACATATTCATGTTGACTGTCATGTTGCGAATCCTCTTCATAATCGCCAGAATGTGTGGTATAATGATGAGAGGATTCTGGAGCAGCGGTTTGTGTGTGTGAATGTTGTGAATAATGATGATGACTGCTGGGTTTTTCATATTCAATTTGTTCTTCATCATGAACTTTAGGTACATGACTATAATGGTAATTTGTTGCTGGCACCTTTTGATAATGATGATGAGGTTTCGAAATTACTTCTCCTTTTGACTGTTGATAGCCATAGTGAGTTTTATACTGATTATTTTCATAATTATGGTTTTTAGCTTTTTTAGTTTCGAAAATTTCTAAAGATTCTTCAATGATATCAGGCAGTAAATGATCATCTAGATCATGGTTTTTATAATAACCTTTAGGAGCTGCGGGTTTTGTTTCAATAACTTCCTCTTCCTCGACGATCTCCTTAACCTGGGGTTCATGGACATAATGACTATGTATATACCTGGGGGCTTGTATTACTTTTATTACTTCTTCTTTTGGTGAATGATAATCATAATTTGTCGGCATTTCTTTGTGCTGATAATGATATTGCGGCTTTTCTTCTACAAACTTAACATGATGATCGTGATCTTCATGATAATGATGATCTTGAGCACTTTCTACTAATTTAATGGTTTCTATATGGTTGTGACCATATTCATGATGAGGTTGATGATGATGATGACCATGATCTTCATGATAATGCTGATTTTGGTCACTTTCTATTAATTTATTAGTTTCTATATGATTTTGACCATATTCATGATGAGGTTGATGCTGTTGATGGTGATCATATTCCTCTACAACTTTAACAGTATTTATTTCTTTAACGGGTTTAATATGCTGATGTTGTTCTTTTATTACATAGGTTTCCTCTATATGTTTAGGACCGTGATCATGTTGATATGAATGTTCATGATTGTGAGGTTTATCCAATTCCGCAAGATAATGATTTTCCAACAAAGGAGCCTTTTCCTTTACCACTACTGTTTTTACGGGTCTTTGGTGATAGTGATGTATAATTTTATGTTTGACATGATGTTTAGGAACATGATGTATCACTGGATGTTTAGATTTTAATATCCCTTTTCCACCTGAGTGTTCATGAGGTATATGCACCTTAATATGCACATGTTCACTACCAAATGTGGGTGAACTTAATACAAATTCCATTCCGAAAATGGTGCAAAAAGCACAGATCTATGACAAACACAAAATTTTTAAACATTATTAAACGTTTTTCTTTTTTGAAAACTTGTTATACTAACTGTTATAATTTTGCTTAAATCCATATTGTTGTTGTGGTACTGTTATAAATCCTTATTAGTAAAAAAAATTCCCGTTATAAAAGATTACACTTTTTCACTTGCGGACGACACTTGATGTCAAGTTCATGTTAAAAATTTGTTTAAACCATACTTTAAGTTTGTTAATAATATATATAGTATCAGCGTTCTCTCTCTTTACAGCTCTCCTAACTCATTTCTCTTTCATATGATTCCAGCTCTCCATTGAATTTTGTTTTGGCAATTTAAAACTGACCTACCAAAACATTTTTTTCATTTAGCCCTAATGCCAAATACGGCTTTAATCAGCGTGAGTATGGGCGAACAAGTGTAACGGTTAAATATTTTGCTCATTTAAATTTATAACGATCAACGTTATTGTTTCGACTATTATCTCATTAGTGCTTTTCAAGCAGCAGTCAGTCAGTCAGTGGTGGTATGTGGCAAAGAGTTGTCTGTGGTTAACAAATCTTTTGTTAATTTTTTATGCCATTATTATTTGGAAATCATTTGAAATAATGATGATGCTACTACGTGTAGGAAAGTTTTTTGAAAGCATACAAATTTGTTTAATGTTTATTTTTATATAAATTTACCTACAACATGAGTTGGTATTTTTTAAGCTTTGTTTAGATTATTAGTTTTTATTTTATTTTGAAAAGTAACAGAAATCAATTATGTTAAAACAGTGGCGGTAATAAATTTTGCGATAAGAAAAAAAAATAAACCAAATACATAAATTTACTTTGCAGAAAATTATGTCAGCTTACGAGATTTTTATATGTCACAATTGCTAATTTTCGGCAGAAAGGAAATTCCCAAGCATAACCCAGTAAAATATTTTCAAATTTTGGTAATGAGTATTGTAGGTAATGTAGTTATTTCACACATTACTTGGTAATGGGTGGTCTTTATTAATAAAATTATTTCATTTTTTTTTTTTTTTGGATAGGATTTGTAGCCAGATGTATAGAGCGTATGTGTAATAAGGAATTAGTTAAGAGTTTTAAACCTAGTCGATATTAGAAGATTTTTTTAAGAAATATTGATTTGCACCTTTGTGTAAAAACTATTCCAAATAGCACGATAAAACAACTTGTTAATAGAGCATTGGCTAATAGAATAGACTAATAAATACAGAAAATAACTGTAAAGCCGATTTTAAATCCAGAATAGTCGGGTAAGCATATTTGTAACCAGTTATTTTTTGGTCATCGACAAACAAAAATAAGTAGTTATTCACCCAAAAAGAAAGTACTTACACTTTGCTTCAATATTACTTGCCTACTTACCGGGTAAGTAAAGATTTTACTGGGTAATTTAGTATATCTACAAAGGAGTCCTGTGTGATCACAAAATTATCAATATTTTCGAGAATTAGTGCCTTTTTAAGGAACTAGAGAGATTTTATGTTTTTTGTATAAGAAACCAAATTTTTATAGAAATATGGCCCTATAACTATTTTAAAATTTTATATTAAAAAAAAGTGGGCGTAACTAAGAGGTGCGGCAGCCAACCAAGATCAAAAGAATACGATAGATTCTGTCGAAAATAGATTTTCCGGTTATCCAAATTTCGCATAAATCGATACAGTAGTTTTTTCATCTGTGTTTTACTGATTTACAAATAGTGGATGCAAAAGGGGCGTGGCATCAAACCGATAGGTTTATCATTTTTTTATTATAAACCTATTGATTTACTAATTTTCTTTAAGTTAATCGATCTAGCAATGTTTTGTCTGTTTTGTATAGGAATTTGGAATAATAACTTTTTGCTAAGAGTGGACATACATTCAAGATCCAATGTAGGTTATAGTTCCTTTTGTTACTAGGCCTATCGGTATGCCAAATAATATAAAAATTAGTTCATGGCTTTTTCATCTGCATAGAAATGTTAAATTATATCAAAAGAGGGCGTAAAAAGAGGCGTGGAATTCAATCAAGATCTTATATAATTGTTTAGCTTAATATCTTTCTAATTGATATTATATTTAAAACAGTGTTACTCTAATGATAAAAATACAAAAAATTTAACTTTTTTCATTACATAACTTTTTTTCTAGTTTTGAAATTAATTTTTTAATGCGTTTTACATTCAATATTAAGAATCAATTATTGTGCTAATAAGCCCACTGTATTACATTTCAACTCTCATAACGTTAGCTAAAATAAAAAGCAATTCTTTAAAAAACGCCACTGGTTTCCAAAATTTCATATCTTTTGCTCTCTCTACTGCTCTCAGATACGCTCTATTATTGTAAATTATCATCGTTTTTAAGTATTATATAATTGTATATTTTAACAATTTGTAATTTAAATAAATAACAAATAAATTAATTATCAAATTAAGTTGATCTCGAATATGAAAAGCAAAAGTTTAAATCTTTTGAAAAATGAGACAAAAAGCTTTCGATAATTAGATTATGTGAGATAAAAATACACAGACAAGTTGCGTTAAAAAAAAAAACGAAATAAAACAATACAATAAATATTTATTATTATTTTATAATAGGAATTTAAATTTTAACATACTACTTTAAAAACATACTGAGACATTAGGGAGACCAATTCTGAAAACACGTTAATGAAATGTTTGTATATAGGGAATTTCCAAATACCCTGACATGACAAAATTAATCATGGTAATTTCCAAATTTGCAATGATACATTTAATTTGTCTCGATCGTGATATTCTTAATTTGAGAACTCTATAGCTTAATGAGTATTCCAACTAAGTAATTAACATTTTTGAAAGCTTAGGTTCACAAAGTACCTACATATATTTCGAATAATTGTAAAATTCTACGTCGAAATAACTATGTCCATTCGTATATCTGTTTAAGGTATTGTGGGTCCTATAGGATAATTCCTAGGTCCTGTGGATATACATACTTCCAGAAGGAATTATATTTAAGATTAGAAACTTTGTAATGCAATGAAGAGTCCACTTTATCAAAGATTCTACCACAACTAAGAAAACTGTTCCTGCCAAAACGGTAAGCATTAAGAAAAATTACCTTAATTGTGGAACAAAGTTATTTTTTTGTGCACCATCCTAATATTATAATATGCATATGTAATGCAAAATAACGCAAGTAGAATTCACCAAATTTTGCATGGATCATGGTAAAATACAAATACCTCTTCATAGTTATAGAAATGGTCTAAATATAAAAATCAGTACAATTTAAATTGATTTTTATTCCATTTTGAGTTAATAAAATACTGGACGAATTACATCGTATTATGCAAGATTTCCATAAAATCAAAAATTTTTAATCCTAATTTGAAAGAAAATTTTAAATCAAAACATGACTCAAATCTAAACTATTTGTTTCCTACTATCTATATTACATAGTCTATTACACCTCTATGTGTAGGGTAATCAAATGAAGACCTATAATGTCACACTAACAGATGTTTATAGTCTAGACTTTATGACGTTTTCTATATATGCTTTTATACGCGACACAACTAAAGAGGTATTATGAGATATTGGTTATGCACCCACCCTCAAGTTAAACAATCGACTCATTTGCTATGTCTATTAAGTCATATCTGTCCATCTGACTGTGCTTGCAAGATAAAGCTTATTGAAAATGTTGAAAATAACCTAGCCTCTATACAACCCAACATGAATATGTTTAATAAACTACAATTATCTCTAAATGTGAGTCTAAATGGTTCCATCGATTTTCGAAAAGATTAAGCCTCATTTGACCTTGGTCCCCATAAAAAGTCTCTTTTAGAAAATTAGTTAAATAAATAAATATAAAGCCCTCCTTCAAATGTTATCCGCCTGTAGTTGGCCATAGCCCCCATATTCAAAAATAAATCACATTTAACTGATATAAGGTATCATAAGATCGACCATGTACGATTTTCTTACTTGTTTTCATTTTAGAGTTAAATAAAAAAAAAATAAACACAAGTCTATAATTTTTAAGAATTTTTTTTAGTGTAATACGTTGCTAATAACAACAAATTATTGATTTTTTTTTTAACAAAATGTGTTTTATATACATATTTAAAATGCTGTTATACAAATTAAATTAAATAAAATAAAATAATGATTAAAATTTTTAATTAATTGACCACACAAAACATAGCGGGTTAACGCCATATAATAAATTGTGATCTATGCAACTTATAGAATAACTAAAAAAATATACGTATCTGTGTATGTAAGTCTTAAAGGGTCGTTTTATAGAAATAAACAAAAAATCTATAATTAAGAACATTTGGAATAAATTTTGTTTCAAGGGGAAGTACTAGATTAAAAAAGCAGCTTTAACTACAAACAACTAAATGCTAACAACAAACTAATTTAAAAATTTTTATTTTAAGAAAATACAAAAATTTACACACTACAGAATTGTGGGTTTTCAAATGATCGATTAATTAAATATGAATATGCAAAAATGTAACTTAAATTAGAGTTAAACATGTCCACAAGGTGTTGAACGTAAAGCAATAAAAACGGCTTTTGTCAAAGTGGGAAATTGAGGAAGGTTCTTTCCTATGATTTATACATTGCGTACTCCTCGTTTTGAAATACGTTCAAAACACGAGGATCAAATCTAACGTTTAATCTTAAACAAAATAGACCCGAGTTGAACCAAATTTTTTTTTATTTTCTATTGTACCCAATTACATACAATATATAAATATACCAACAGTTGCTAAAAGGTTTTTCTCGAACCGAAACCTCTTGAAAAGATTACTTAAATGGAGTAAAATAATCTTTGTTTTTATTTAATTTTTAATTTAAAAAAATCATTTGTTCTTTTCATAACTGTTGATAAAAATATATAAACAAGAAAAAACTTAATTTTTATCAATATCAAATATTACCCGGTAACAAACAAAATATAACGAATAAAGATTACAAATCGTGTTCGAATATAAAACTCTCCCAATATATATTTTAGCCAAGACGAACCAAATTCAAATACGAATTAAAAACAATAATAAAGAAGAATCGTAACGTAATCGTACAAGTGAGTATTCCTACGAGTGCACAACAACACATTTATATTTGAATTTACAAGTTAGTATGTGTAGTTGCAGTGGAGAGCAAAACTGGTTAACCTCTTAAAAATTTTGCTATTGAAAATATTGGTATCAGATTCACCTCTCGCGAAATCACTTAGAATAATAAAAAAGACTATAGTGAAGATTATAGACTAGAATATAGACTAAACTATAGACTAGACTATAGACTAGACTATTG